ATAGTTACTATTTAGGGGAGAACTGCCATTAGCATTTTTGAATACTAAATCAAATCTCTTGCAAGGATTCTGTCACAGAAAAGTGTAAAACAACATCTTAGGCTTTGGTTTACAGTTCACTTGTTTAATTCTCACGAACAGAAAAATATCTCCTACACAGACAACCAATTACAGATTATGTCCTTGATTTATGCCCTCTTCGTCCACAACTTCAAAGCAATTCTCAAATTCTGGCCATAGCTTGAATAAAAGAATTTCAGTTATTAATAAAAAAGGCTCTTTAGGAGAGAGCACAGTATGGAAGAAAGGGAATTATGAAAGCAGATCAATCTGAATTCTGAACAAAGCAGGAAAAACCACACGGAGCCTCATTTTCAATACAAGCAATCGACAACAAAAGCAGCTGTCAGCTTCTTAATAACTCCACAAAACTTTTTTTAATTGCCCCAAACACTTAACTTTTGCACTTTACAACCTACTGACTTTAACTTATGAAAGGAAATCACAGACTTTTGTCCTCTTCTCTTCAGTTTGACATTGTAGTACAGTTGCTGGTTTTCAAGGTGAAAGTATACACATTACCTAGACTGTGGTATCTCCATACAATCCTTGACATTACTATGCAATGTTCTGGTGGCAAACATCAATCCTCCACTACCACCACTCAGCTACGCAAGATCTTACTGGTAACATTTAACTATACAACCGTAAGGGGAACCTAAACGTGGAAACACGCAACTCGTAAGAATCCCAACTAGTAAGAATCATATCTTCCTACTCTAAGGATTGGTCTCACAATATACTAAACAAGGCCCACGCCCACATTCTGACAAGTACCACAGTTTAAGAACCATGAATGAACCAGGAACAAAAGCTGTTAATGGCACATAGATCTTTTTCTCTTGAGCTAGCTTGTAAATAGTAGAAAAACGTCAGTGGACAAGGAAGAAAGCTGCTTCACAGTTAAGGAGATGCTACAGTCTTAGCCTCTACAAAGTCAGTACATAATCATGCCTCCTTAACAGAACAGCAGGGATACTGTTACTAGCGGCAGAGAAAGTCAAGATACTCAGCAGCCCGGAGAACTATGCAAATACATATAAAAAACATACCATCAAATAACTTTATGGAGGATTCCGAACTTAAATAATTCTGAGCTGTAAAACAAGTGACACCTTTAAGAAATAAGTCTCCTTAACAAAGCCAGATTAAGGCTCAATAAATAAATGACTACGGTATCAAATATCAATAAGAACTAGAACTGCACCTGCCCTCTGGAACACGCTGCTTCTAATCTTTGGAAGGTTCAACAGTAAGCTACCCCCCCAAACACGCCTGAAGAACTAAACGAAAAAAAACACAGCCCTATGCAGTACAGACTTCCATCCCCATTTAGTCTTTCAGCAGCCACGCCGACACATTTTTACAGAAGAAAAACGCCTCAGTGCTGCCTACCCGAGCACCTCCGCCCTGGAGAGCTGGCACCGTTCTGGCTTGAAGAAGAGCGCGGGGAAGCCCCCGGCACCAAGGGCCTCAACCGAGCCCGCCCGCTCCCCCCGGAGCCTCCCCACGCGGAATCCCCTCGCCCGCCCCGCCGCCTGTTTTCCGGCGAGCCTCCGGCCCGGCTCCCCCGCGGCTCCGCAGCGCCGTGATCGCGCCGCCCCGCCGCCACCGGGGCCGCCCCGGGCGGCGGCCGAGGGCCCCGGGGGGTCGCGGGGTGGGGGGGGTGTGTGTGGGGGGGGGGGGGCAGCGCTCACCGTTGAGCGCCGACGCCTGCAGCGTGGCCCCCGAAGTGCCGTCGATGACTTTGATGGCGCCGCGAGCGGTCACGGCCAGGATGGCGTTGAGCGCCGGGTGGTAACACAGGCTGCAGAGACCGTCGGCGTCGCAGCGCAGGCAGCCGTCCCGCAGCAGCAGCCACTCGCAGGAGCCCGGCCCACCCGACACCGACACCGGCCCCGGCCCGGGCCCGGGCCCAGCCGGCGCCGCCGCCGCCGCCGCCGCCGAGCAGGAGGCCGCCGCCGAAGAGCAGGAGGCCGCCGCAGCCATCTTCCCGGCCGCCGCCGCCGCCCTCAGGACAAGAGGCGCGGGGGGAGCCGCTCACTGACAGTCCCTGGAGCCGCCGCCGCCGCCAGTCACCATCCGGGTCCGGGGAGAGGGGGAAAGGGAGAGCGCCAGCGTGAGCAGGAAGTGACACAACCGCGCCGGATGCGGAACCGACCGCCGGCCTGACACGAAGTGGGGGGGGGGGGGGGGAGGGGGCGGGAGCGAACAGCCGCTCTTCACGGAGAGGGGCGGGGAGGGCTCCGAGCGCGCGCGGCCGCGGGCGGGGGCGGCGCGGCGGGCACCCGCCTGCCCGCGGCACCGGGGGGGGGCGGACTGCGCATGCGCGGGGGAGGGCGGGCGGCGATAAGCGGAGGGCGGAACGGGCCGCCCCCGCGCCGAGGAAGGTTTGCGGCTCAGGGCGGCGGGCCGCGGTCCTGTGGGGGCCGGCGTAACTTCTGCCCCCTGGCTCCCTGCCCTCCGGGGCTTGAGCCCGCCGGCCTTCCCCGGGCCTCGTCGGTGCAGGGGCCGTGACCCCGTCGGACAAAAACTGGGTCGTGAGCGGGTGAGGGCGTTTGCCGCCTTTTCCTACCCCGGCTCTGAGCCTGGCTTTCTTTTTGTACCTGAAGAGCGATGTGGGGGGAAGCTCCTATTTACTCGCCTCCAGCTTTGGTACCGAGTCAAAAAGTCGAAGTGGCAGTCGGCTTCCGGCCTCCTTTCAGAAGAAAGTCGGACCTTGAGAACGGTGGCCCTGAGGGGGAGCAGGGGGTTCCAGAGTGATTTTTCCACCCGCACCCCCCCCAAAAAAAAAAAAAAAAAAGTAGCGATGGAGTCATTGTACCCATGGAAGCATTTCATTCTGAAGCGGTATTCATCATGCTTCAAAAATGACATAAGCACAATAAAACAGGAGAGATTGCTGAAATTTTCCTGTCTCACCCACTGAGGGACCAGGCTAAGCCTACCTGGATGCATTATTTAATCTAAATGACATGTTCTTTCTACTATAATATTTGAGAAAGCTTTTAGGCCACAGGTGATCTTAAATATAATGAAGTTTCAAATATAATGTAGTTTTCTACAGAAGAGTAATTTATGAGAAAGACCCAAGTTAGCACAGGCTGCTGTAGGAGGGAAATTACAGACGATCTTCCAAAGTGCATGTCTCATTAAGGTGTGATACCCATGTCTACCTTGAAATGAGGTGTTGCATCTTGGAAAGGGTACTTTTTGCTAGATAGATGTGCTCTAAGTTTTGACAGAAGTAATACTTATTTATAGCCTCAAACCTTGAGATTAATGACATGTATAGGAATATAGATGTCTTAATTCAGTAAATATAAATGAGCTTCATACATTCTGTAAACAAGTTTAATTCAAAATTTTTATAAAATACATCTTGTATTTACACACATACCTCATCTAAAAATATGAGTTTGTTGAATGCAAAGATATTACAAACTATCAGAACCATTTGAGAGCTGTTTATACATATTTCTTGCACAGCATATGCAAAAGGTGACCCTAGAGATACTAAGATTAAAAGGTGCAAATCTGCAATTGTGTACAAAATATGTACTATGTTAAGTGCATATCTACATTGCATATTACACATGTGCCGAGTCTGTGGAAAAGAACAGTTAAAATTGCAACTATAAATTTCACAGAACATTAGTATAGAGGAAAATAAGATATTTGGAGATTAAACAGAACATTCTTGCATCATTTGAATAATCATAGTCATTTCAGATGCCTGGGAGCCATTATGGACATCTAATGAACAGCTCTGCGAAGAAGAACTACGATTAAAGCTCTCTGACAGCCTACAACCTAAATGTGCCCTCGCCCTTCATGTTTGTGGTGATGTTAAACACGTATTCACAGGGTCAGGGTTGAGTCTTCTAATACTAGTTTGGATATTCCTGCTAAAAAATAAATGTAAGTCATGAAAGAAGACAAAAGACCAAATTATCATGCAAGATTCCAAAGCTAACATGCCTTTTTTTTTTAATACACTAACTTGTGTATTTTATTTTTTTTTTTTTTTAGAATGTGGTATGAACGCTCACAAAACATTTGCAGACAAGAACTATAAGCTGCTGGTATAATTGGTTTAGTACGACTGCAGTAAATCCACCAGAAGTTCTGCAGAAGTCAAAAATTACGTGTAAAGTCGATTACTCTACCAGCTTTTCTCCTTTAATTCATCACAAACTAGAGTATTACACTACAATTTATGTCCAGCATCAACTTTAAGTAGTTCAGTTTAAAACCAACACAAGCATCAGCCAGAAAAGCAGACTGAATAAGCTGAAGGTTTGGGGTAGAGTTTGAATTTAAGTACATATTTAGCATCAGTAATGACTGGTAAAAATGTAAACAAAATGGCAAATTACACAGACTAAAAAGCTGAAAAACTACAGTTCTGGTAAGAAAATATGTCCATTGGGGATCAAAGACAGCCCTTGCTATTACCTTGTCATGGTTGATTTTTATTTGCAGCATAAAAAAAAAAAAAAAAAAAAGCATGGGGAATGCATTTCTTTCCTGTCGCCAAAAAGAAATATTAAGAAACCTAAGATCTATTTGGCAATAGCTAAATACTGAAGACTGCAAATGCCTAAGTTAGTACCATGCAACATGAACTTCAGTGGACTTCCCTTGTGAAGAAACATTACCATAAGGACCATTATATAAGCAATCAACACAGTACACAGGAAATATTTAACATGTCATCACGTTATTACATAATCCTTGTATAGTCAAAATTAGCAAGACTGTAATTGTTACTAAGGCTGTAATTCTGCCTTATTTAGCAGAGGGAGAATCTGGCCTTACAAATCTTTTTTATTTCTCTTTCCAAGGGATTGATAGTACTGAGGGGAAAAAAACCCAAATGGATGCGTGTTAAATACCATGCTATTAAAAGCAAGACAGAGCAAGATGTTGTAAAACAGTTAGGGAAGCATTATTTTTATTTTGTCATCATAAAATAACATTGTTTAAAGATCACACAAATTTGATAGATCTTTTTTCTCCAACATTAAGCCAGCACTACATTCGAGAAAGGTGTTCACCCATTTCTCTGTAAATTTATATTTTCAAGTAAAATAATTTGATTCTCTAAATATGCATTTTAATTATGTCACTCAGTAAATATCTTGCTCCTTTGGTCAGAAATAGTAAATGAAGACTTCAAATACTTGTATCTTCAATTTTTAAAAACCCAATATACATCCTTAACCAAGGAGTATTTACGCTACACACAAGCCATAGATACAAAATACACAGTATATACATGTTTTGAAAACAAATTGGAATTTATAAAAACTCAATAGCCAAATCAAAGTAATTGAGGCACTAAATTAAAAGTAGTATCTTCATGTCTTGATTATACAGACTATTCTGTGAACAATGAGGACTGTTTCATAAATATATCTTATCTACAGAATTTGCTGTGCCAAAAAAAGCCAGCTGTGTTTAAGCTCAAAAGAAAAATTGCACTTTGAGATTGTTACAGTTAACTTCTCATTTTTCTCCTCGGATATAGTAATCTGGTCCTAGTGCTTTTGGCACAGGTATTGAGTTGTGTTTTTGCTACACTTTCTTATAAAACACAAGGTTCTTTTATTTTGTTCATTAAAATCTGAAGAGTCTTAAACAAACCTAGAACTTTGATACAAATCTATATAGCTACAATTGCTTCATTAAATATTATACACAAATATGCTCTTCGATCTTAAAACATCTTGACAACTGGATACAAAACAGTCACTTGTATTACCTCCAGCCTCCTTAATCTTATGCATTATCAGTCTGCAAGTGAATAAAATATGGTTTCTGGCCACATCTTGCACTAGATCACACCCCAGTGTACAAGGACAGAAAATAAATGTATAATAAAAAGATTGGATAAATTAGAAGGGGTTTCTTGGTCTTGAATTCTTCTCCAACTAGTAATGATGCAGCACTGTATGCAGCCCAAAAGACTCCAAACAACTGAAAAATAAGAAGAACAGTCTTAGCTGATACCACAAGAAAAATCTTTCCACATACCAAGATAAAGATCAGTTCTTCTCTCAATATAATTAAAAAGAAACCATCCCAAAAAAAGAATTTTGCAGGAAGAACTACACACACACACACACACACACAAAAGAATATACTGTGCATTTTCATTTAAGTTTAGAAAAATATTTAAAAAATAGGCATGTCATTTTTATTTGAGACATTTTTACTCAAGTGAGCAGCTAAGGATCTACAGTAAGTTTTCTCTAATGTAAGACATATAGATACCATAAAACAAGTCGTAAACTTGGATAAACTGATAATTTGGAACTTCTCTTGATTAATAAATTTTCTTTCTATCTTGACTGTCCCCAACTATTAGCTCCTCCCTTTCTTTAAGCAAAAGAGTTGCTATACTTGACTCTTCCTCCTACAATATACCAGAGGGTTGAATTACCATTTTTTATTTCAGGATTCATCTGACTCTCAAGCTTTTCTTTAATTATGATGCCCCCACCTCAAGGTAACTCAACCTCACATTCCTATTCATTTCAGGTGCAGTGAGAAGCCTGCCAAAATACAATCTGTATCAAAAACTATATTGCTTACTAAGTTAAGGAAGAAGCAGTTTAAAAGACTGGTAAGGAAGTAACATTACCTATGAATATCCACTATGTTATATGAAGTTAGCATGCACTCTTTAAAAAAAAAAAATGTCTTGAGGTCAGTGAACTTGACTCAAACCTCAAACTAACAAGGTTATAGCAAAAATTAATCACATATTATACTCTAGCAGCACCCTGAATATTAATAAAAAAAGAAAAATATTTTAAACTGAGTGGTATATAAAAACACTGTCACCTTCTGCAAAACACAAAACCAAAGAGGGCAGACTTAATAGGACCCCACCAAAGAACTTTTTCCAGTTCTGTCAAAGGAGCTGAAGCCCCTTGAGGGATTATGGGGCCTGTTCAACTGACAATGCCAAAAAAAAAAAAAACAACCACAAAAAAAGTGCATGTGATGGCATACTTTTGTTTTTGCTGCCTAACCCGGGACTGCAGAGATGGACAAGAAGGACCATCAAGATCAGGACTGAATTCCCTAAGACACATTAGAAAACCAGCACCAACTACAACGATCGAGGTACATTACTAGTTTACTTTGCTGATTGCAACTGGAAAAGAACTGACTGAAATTTCACTATTTCACTGTAAGTTCCCCAGCTTCAGGACTGTGAAATATTTCCCCAAGCAGAGCGCTCAAGCCATAAATAGTGCTTGTCACAGCATAAGTACTTTTGGCCATACAGGGCTTGTCCTGCATTTTCACACTTACGATGCAAAGATAAGAACCTTGCACAGATTCACCTTTAAGTTAATGTAAGACTGTTAGTAGTAATCAAGTAACAGAAGTTTCATTAACATATATTTATTTTCAAGTTACGTATTAGTTAACTGGGAAGTTAATGATTTGCTTTCTGACTGCAACACTTTATAGTCACTGCAAGTTATCAAATCACAAACAGCAATTCTGTCATACACTTTAGTTTTACTTCAATCATACAGTTTACCAGCAAGCTGAAAGCATAGAAATCAATCAAATCCACAGAACAAGAACTCAAAAAGTGTACAGCTTATCTAGTAATACAGTTTTCTCAGTCAACCTTTCCAGAAGTTCAGCAACAATTTCAAAGGCTACCTAAAAGGTTTTAAGTACTGAAGTGTTCAAGAACATTATGCAGTTCTGGGATCTAACAGGGAATGTTGCTAGTTTCATAAACGGTGTCCGAGTGCAGTTGTTGTCAGGCAAGTTACTCTTGCTTTGGGCCTCACATTCCACATCTGTAAAACCAGAATAAGACTCACCTTCTCTGCAAAGGGTATAGAGAGCTTTGTACTGCTACCACTATGGGAAGGTCTCAGAACAATGACTAATGTCATATTCATGCTGCAGTAACTAAAAATAAACTGCATGATGGGGGAACAGATAGGACAGCTTATTTTCAGATTCTTCATTTTGAGGTTTAATTATGCATCCTCTTCTCAAAATGATAATCCTATTTATTTTTAATGCAACTATTATAGCACAGCGAAATACTTACACAGAAGCTAACCTGTTAACACCAGGTGTTGTTATGGCAACAGCTCTGTATATCCCTTAGTACTCAAAAGAAACATTTATACCAGAATTCACTTAGCAATCACGTCCACCATGCTAACCAAAAGGATCACAGAGCTCACACTGTAGTTCTGAATATTATGACCCATTGTTATATTGTCCTGAACAGAATACCTGAAGTGTTCGGAAAGTGATTTAAAAATAACTGTAAACAATTCTCAAAAGATGACACTGAACTTACTTTTATTAGGGTAGAAACAACTTCAAATGATCCAACCACCAAAAGTACAGGTGCTATGACGATGAGGGGAAGTAGGGAATATCCTATCACACCAAGAACTTGGCCATAAGCAACCTGAAATTTTCAAGAACAAAAACAAGCTTTGTAGTACTCGATCTTTGTCACCAAATGCAGTTTGATCTTGTTATAGGAGTATGAATACCAAGAATAATAATGTGATAGGTATTTATGACATTTCAACTGAAGGAAGCTTGCTGGTATGAAAATTGTTTATGCATGCTATCCCCTAGAATTTTGTAATTCAGTTCTCTTAGATGTTCTTTTTGTTTGTTTTTAACACTGTAAATGACAATTTTACCACTTCCAAAACATTCTAGTTCACATCTATTATGACTATCTTAAACAGATTTGTTTGAAGTATTTCCATAACTGTTTTCAGCTGCATGGGGATTAAAATGTCTGCGTTTCCCCTATTAGAGTTTGAAATGTTCTCAGGCCCAGCTAGGCTTCTTGATTCAACAGGAAAAACAGTGGCAAAGACAACTGACCATCTTGCAAGCAATCTCTTGTGGCCATTGATCCTTCACAATGAACTGTTCAGACCTATACTTTTTCCCCTGTTTATATATTCTGATAACTTCATATTTTGAGCCAAAAAAAAGATTGATTTAAGGGCATCTGGATTATTCTGGTATGCAGAAATGCCATGCAATCACATTTATAAATGCTTTTTCTTTTAAAACAGTGTTCACACAAGAAGACTCTAGCAATTAGGATTAAAAGGAAAATCTAAAAAAATTAAAGGAAATGTAAATAATGTAGGAAGTTGCAACACGAGTTCATCAACGCAAGAGGCATGGTAAAAATATAAAAATCAAGTATTGCTGAATATTTAGCTCTTCAGGACACAGTTTTATGCTGCAGAGCCATTTTAAGAAGTTTCTACCCTCCTGACTGTTCTGCTGTAGCTGTCTGCAGGCCGTGCTGTAAGTCATTTTTTGTTGTTTACACTTGAATCTCTTAGTGACTCAATTTGTAAACAGCTCAGCTATTCCAACCTTGCTGGTGTGAGCAGCTGGAGGGAGGGATGTAGGCCAGAACTTCTGCTGGCTTTGCAGTTGAAGAACATGGGCTGACCAGCATCCTTTAACAGGTTTGAACTGCCTCAGGCCAAGGATGAAAACAAACCCTGGTAGGTGCTCTACCCACAAGGACATTATACAACTGCTGTTAGCCCCATTAAAATTAAATTAAAAAAAAAAAAAAAAGTATAAATAAAAGTCGGTGCAAGAGCAGTACAGAGGAGGAGAGAGTCCCAGTTTACCTCAGTGACCAAAAAATTGAAAGTACTTGTCCCTCAAGAATGGGCTTCGGTTCTGGATCACAGACACCTGTTAGAATTTCTGGGATTCATAGCACAAATTTCCAGCTTATCACATCCAGCACACCGTCCATTGCACAGAACGGTTAGCTGACCATCTCTGTATTTTAGAGTTTAATTTGGAGGCCAAGAACTTGAAATGTAAACATTACATATACCAGCTTCATCTATTCTTAGCTGGCTATGAGGTCCAAAGCCAAGCACCAAGGAAACCCAACTACTACTAAAAAATGTAGCCAAGAGATTTTACATTACTTCCTTCTGCATCCTTTCCGCATACAGGTACTTACTTCTCCTCCAAGAACCCTGGCCAGTAAAAAAATTGTCAAGGATCCAAATATCCAAATAGTTATAATCCAAGAAACAACCTTAAGAGATAAAAAACAATTCATTTCATTAATAAATCTTCATTGTGAGAAAGGAAAACTCAATTCTATTAATCACTTTCATTGCAGTCAAGGATTTTATTATGCAAAACTGAATTCTGAATTGTGGCAAGAATAGTTTTACTTAGTATCACAATTCAACTTGAGAATAAAATTCAGAGGTTACATTTACAGAACCACATTAATGGGAATTTTGGTGAACATGGAAAGCACATGCAATGTGTTCTGCAAGTATTGTAAAATTGTAGAAGACTAAGAAAAGTTTAGTTTACTACAGCTAAGACCACCCTAGCTAAATGTCTTGACATCCTGCCTATTACAAACTGTGGAGTCAGGCAGCTTTTAAAAGGCAGCCCAACCGATACAAGGAGTTGGAATTCTCCTTCTTTCATCCATAAAGACTCCACTTCATTCTATACTCAAACTGAGAATGCTTAGAAGACACAGGACTTTAACTCTCAATAGAGCTCGATGATGATTACAACTTAACAAACAGCCTCAGACTCCTGGGACAAAGTCTGTCATTACTTTTTCTTGATTCTTTCATTGCTCTGCTCTTAAACCAAAGAAGAAATCTTAAAATCATGCTCTGGCTTAACAGAACCTTTGAAGAAACTTAGCTATTCTTGGAGTTGAGCCACTGGGAGGATTAAAAGTGAAGCTCTCCCTTTTAAATACTTTTTTAGAAAAAAACAGTATTAGTCCAGTCTTCATATTTTGAAATGTACAACAACTGAATTTAAAAATGAAGGTAGTATTCAATTCAATATTTTGCTTAATTAAAAGTTCCAGATTCCCAGAAGAATCAAGTAGGGGATGAACAGATAAAAATCACAGCAGCACTTAAAAAAAAAAAAAGGTAACGTAACGGCTTTATGCTATTTGTGAAAATAGCAGATGGCCTCCTTTTACTTCCTGCTTTCCTCCACTGCCCAAAAGACGCGGACCAGATTAAAGTCTTAGAGCAGGAATGCTGATCCCTCTCCAGCTTACAGCCCACCATTCTGGTCATCTAGTCCAGCTGCTGTCAGTCATCCTGTTACTAGCTACTTGCTTTCCTTCCTCGCACATATGCAGCACTGTTACATCTGGACGGTAAATCCACCGTTCCTAAGAAACATTAGACCTACTGTTCACATACAGTAGGGACACGAACTGCAGAAGGTAGCTTATCTGTCATGGGATCAAGGAACGGTCCTTGCTTTGCCTAGGAGACAGATAAGTGGTCTACCCAGAAGACTTGAATAATACAGTGGTTTAGTCTACTCTAAGTCTCACAGAAACAAGATACTGAGAGTGAATTCTTAGTACGCCGTATGGAAACCAGAGGTCGCAAAGGGAATGATTTTATCTCACCATTCACAAAAATCTTTGCATAAGCACGTTCTGCTGCTTTACATATGGCTTACTGCTATACTACATTGTATTTAAAACAACTGTAACTACACATACAGTCATAAAGATGTCTGAAGTAGGATCACCTAGGCTCACATTCAAACTGTGACTATAAATGATACCACTTCTCTATTTCAATTTGAATGTAAATTTAAAAAGCTAATGGTGTTTATGGAGGCCAATTAAACCTGCACAATGCCTTCAAAGAGCTATTCACTCTGGAGTCCAAAAGAAATTATGGAAAAAGTCTACTGACCAGAGGAAAGTTATTTGATTGTAACTGAGCAGGGAGGACAAAATAGAAAATGGCACTACTGAAGATTAAATATACCAGATAACATCAGTGATATAGCATGAATTAAACAAGTAGCTTTATTTGTCAGGAAATTAATATTCATGACATCCAAACAAATGTTCTCCAGTAACATTTTTTAGTAATAAAAAGCACGTTAACAAAAGGTCACAATTAAAATGGAAAGATTCACTAATATAACTATAAACCCATTAGTATCAATCTGTTTCCTCCAGAAACCACATCTTTCCTTTGTTTTACCGTATAAAAACAAACCTGACATTTCATCATGATTAATTTATCCGTGGGCTATTTAATACATTTTTTACTGCTGTCTTTCCACATATTAACTTGAGAAACATCATTGAAATGCCCCATATTAGTATGTGAAGAAAAGACTTTCTACCTACGTAAGAATGCAAATTGCCTAGCAATCACGTTCCCAAATTTAGTTTAGATTTCTTTTTAGGTAGAAGGCTTATACCTACCTTAAATTGTCCATATAGTGAAATCATTGAGAAGAAGAGAACAACTGCCAAAGGACCCCAAAAGTCTGGATTGTCTCTCACTACCTGCCTATTAAACCCAAGAGATGGCATAGGCATCAACACACATCGAATTTTGTAGTAAATATCCTTCAGATCAATGTCGAGTTCTTCCCTGAAATGGTAAAGCAAGAGAGCATTACTATCCACTACAGTAATGAAACAGAGCATAAAAAAAGTAAGTGTGGGGGCAAACAGTAAGCTTATAGAAAGAGTCTCCTGTCTCCCATAAGGCTCTCTGAAGCCATGACTAACAAAGGAACAGTTTGTCCACAACAAAGCAACACCATACCTTCACCCTGCACTCTGTAACTGGTGCGCCCCAGATGTATTTAACTATTCAAAAATCAATCACGGGACCGAGAATAGGAAACACACACAACATAAGAGTCTACATTAAGACAGTAGATCTATTTTCTGACGTGCAGGAACACATGACATTCATACCTCTGCAACTACTTAAAAGTCAAAGGCATGCATACACAAAAGCAGGATGACCGTGTATTCCTATGCTGAGCAGTTTGCCATGAGCACACTTATTATGGAACCATTTTATTTCAAATTCTACAAGAATACTTTTACATTCACTAATCCTAAACCATTCAAAATACACCAGGTAAAAACAATCTTTTAAAATAAAATGGGTTTAACTTGCTGCAACAACAGTAGTTTTCAGCAGACCAGTTTATGCCAATTGTTTAATTACTGGCGTATCTCCAATATGGGTAAAAATAAATAAAATACAATTAAACTAGCAATAAATTCTATCAACAGATCTTGCTCTTCCCCAATTGCCTTCTTCATTATCTACTACAGAGTATCTGTAAGCAGCTACAAATTGACCAGACTCTTCTGCAGAGGAAACTCCTAACTGGTGTATCTTGCCCTGATTGTCCTAGCATAATGGGAAGAAATCAAACTTTCCAAGCGATGGACAATTCCACTTCTTTAAGTTTATGCATGGATCCTTAAGACAGAACTAGAACTGTACGCTAGTGTTTTCCTTATGCAGTCGTGACTGAGGAGCTCCAAAGAGTTGCAAGAAACTTCTGGCAGATACCCCTCTGCTCTCCATTTAACAGCATGATGGAGAAAAATGTAGAATCATATATCTTAAGGCTGTTTATGAAAGTTTTGTACAAGGCTTTGATTTATGGCTTTTTCCTCAGAAAAGTTGAAGCAAGAAATAAACTCAAAGACAGGATTCACCACAATTCTCTTTTTTTGAAAAAATTAAATACTGCTCATTGAGTCTCTTTTAGCAATAGCAATTTCAGGATTGCTATTACTGAAGCTATTTCAGAACTGGTATTACTAATCTGTGACTAAATAACAAAAATTGTTCTTTAACACATCCCTGAATCTAAGGAGTAGACTGTAAGCATCCATTTTCCTCCATTTATCTAAACAGGATGTAGCATTCCTGTATTTTACTCTGAATACTGTGTAACATAAATATTTCCTGTCTGGAAATAATTCTTTGTCATCACCTAGGGCTTCTGACAGTTTCTCATGTGAATAAACTGTCTTTCACACCAAGCTGACAAGTACCCCACTTAAGAAGTGATGGTAGCTGTAACAGGAAACAAGTGTATGGATTAAACTAAGGCTGCCCAATGAGAAAGAAAAAAAAAAAAAATAATCTCACTCTGTTGAACAAAGCACTTGCATGGTAGCACTGTATTGGTGAACTTCCCTTAGCTGGCTGCTATTCTTAAATCCTTAGTAGGATTCAGGTTACAAGGCCTCATCGCAGCACATGTTGTGGGAATAATTAGAATTACATAAAAACTGCTACATGAAAGTCAGATTAAGGTCTTCTCTGTTAGGATGATTACATTCGTCCTGTTTGCCACAAACTGATCATTTCCCTGGCATGTTCTCCTCACTTCCATCAATCACCAGCTTAGAACACCTAGCTGTCTTTGAATCACAAACTTGGGGTTTGTGGTATAAAAAATTAAACAAAAGAGGGAATTCATATGATGCCACCTCTGTACACCATTCTGTTTCTTAACTAAAAGAGGTTTAGAGAACAGACTTATTCACACAAGGGGCTCCTTCTGCACACTTTAAAGGACTTTTCAAGTAGCAGTTTAATTATCAAGCTCTCCACGCGAGTTCTCTCCCAACACTCTCCTTTGAGTTCTCCAAAGTGCTCTCCTGCTCACTCCATTTTTTTAAAGCATCGTTATCTTTAATTCACATAGGAAAACAGTGAGACACTGAGAATTAATTTGCTTAGGTGCAAAACAAGGACTAAGACCCAGGCTGCCTGACTCACGGTGTAGTAATCTTAAAATACAAACTTTCTTCAGCCAACCACATTTCAGTGAACAGAACAAGGGACGCAGAGATTTTCAGTTTTCAGGACATTTTTGTCTTCCAACACTAACACCCTTTTAATCTATCTTTCCAGTATAAGATAGCATCAAAGATTATAAACTTTGCACTACCTTACTTCTAACATCCCTAGTGTAATAAGGATGATTCACAATGCTTTTACTTCAGAGTAACTGATAGAATTTACTTAAGATTTACACAGCACTAGTCTTTCCACAGGACTGTCATAGCCTCTGATTCTTTGATGCTGTTAAGAAACTCGCAACATCAGCACAAAAGACAAAGAATACAATCTAGTTTTTTAAACCATTACAAGATCAACAGTTAAGAGCAGAAAAGCTGTAGAAGCTTTATACTTATAGAGATTAATAAAACTGGATTTTACTTCCTCCTTCCTTCCTCCCCCACAGTGAATAACAAGGCTCTCTTTTACACTAAAAATAAAACCCATAATGAGAAACATAAGGGCTTCATTCCTGCCCCAGAAAACGCTCACTGGTCAAGTAATTTGTCAAACAGAATTCTAGTGACAGCAAAAGGCTGCAGGACAATGTGAGGGGCTACAAGCTGGTTTTCCTACACAGCTAATAAAGATAGATAACCCAAAATAATTATGACATACAGGAGTGGCTTGTTATCTTCTGGGTCATCATCTTCCACTTCCAAAAGCCAGCCATACCCTCTCTGTCTTAGGAATGTAGTTGCAGTAGATTCTTTGACGAATTCTCCTCCAAGATTTAGCTTAACATCTGGAGTTGCTATGGAGCCACTAAGATCTTAGAGAAAAAGGGAGAGAAAGATATACCTTTTTAAGTCTTGCCAAAAGCCATTTGATTTCAAAAGTACTGGAAGATAAACAACAGACATCTAAAGCTACATGTGCTGGTCAGCACCATAACATATTTAAAGTTACAGAATAAAATTATAATTAACAGATACATAATTTGAAAGGGTACTTCTGGTTTTAATGAAATAGTAACAACGGTGGTTTAGGTGTCAAATTACAGAGTTTTAGCTTCTAGATGGAACTCTTGATGACACGGTTTTATGGTATGATAGAAAGGCTTCAAATCGTGCTTTATCTTTAAGCACTTAAAGGCATAAAAGGCATTAACTAATGGAAGTCTCATCATACTGTAAATTGGAGATTATTTATCTTTTTTTTCTGACCATACTATACCTCTTTTGGTATTTACCAAGACTCCTTTTAGCAGTCGATGACTGGTGAATACCTACAACCACACTTTTTTATCTGGTAACCTATGAACATGATGTTAAGTCATCATGCAAGACATCTCAGGTAGGACAAAAAGATGCAGAAACCAAGGAAAAAAGTCCACCATCTCTTCTTCTATAGGCTGCAGGCCAACTGAGCACTGAAGAATCTGCCAAGAATTGATGGATCTGATGACTGCTAGCAAGAGTTAGGGTGTCTTCACTGCTACGGTCTCAGGCACACCACCACAGAATCAACACTGAGGTCTCTCTCACATGCCTCCTTTCAAATAGGCATTGTGGAAAACCAGCTTTCAAGACAGTTTTTCCTCTCAATTTTGAGCAACCACTACAAGAGGCAAATAAAACCCTCAAAGATTCTGCTCTTTATACCATATCTACCCACTTAACTGAGAGTACCTCTTCAGCATTCTTTCCCACAAACAGCTCCTACCACTCATGGAAATAAGATAGGAAAATAAAATAGCTTATACTTTTATTTTTCATATGGATTAAGATTTGGGAAGCAAATATAAACTATAGTGCAATGCATAGTATTTTAATTTTAAAATATCAGTTTGTTTTCGTTTGTTAGGTTAAGACTATGCAGCACTTTGCAGACAGGATGACACCTGAACAGGCAGGAGATCACGCCTTGCTTGTGTTCATAAAGAACACAGAGCTGAGTCTAATTCATCACATTCTACTACTGCATTTGATTGGGTTCAGCATTGCTTAATAAATACTTCCAGGAGGAGAATCCGGAGAATTTCCATTCAGAGGTACATGGATCCTTTTTCAGGCCAAGGTGTAAAAGAAAAACCAAACCAACCAAACAAACAAAAAAAAGCCAAAACAAAAAACAAACAAAACACAAAAACACCCACCCCACAAACAAACCACAGCTCAGATGGTACCTGTTGCTTAGTATTATTTGTCAGAAGAACTGGGAAGTTCACCAAAGAACAGGTATTCTACGCCGTTTTTCCACTCAGTAGTTCTTTTCCAGCGCGGGGCACACGAGTCAGAATTTACTCGATTCCCTACCCCTAACCCCAATTACAACAGTAACTACACACATTAAGTAGAATGCATGCTGCTTCTATGGGCAAAACACAAAAGACCACTCTCCATCAAAATAAGTTAGCACAGCGTTGCCCCTTGTATGTTCATTTTTCCAGCCTTAAGGCAGATCTTCACGGCAGGATGGTACACCACAGCCACCTGCGCAGCAGTGAGGCGGCAGGCCACGCTTCAACCCCAAACCTAGACACAGGACTCCTTCTCCCGCCCCGCCTCACTCTGCTGACACGAGACGCGGCACGGAGCCTCTGGGCACGGCACGACAGCGAACATCGCGTTCGGTCGGGTAAGGCGGCTGCTCCCACCCGCGTGGAGCGCCTCTCCCGGCACCCACCCCCCGCCCCGCTCCGCCTCCCGCCACGCCACCGGCCCCGGGGGGAGGAGGAGAGCAGGGGAGGCGGGAGGGGGGGGGGGGGGGGGGGGGGGGGCGCCCGCTCCCCCGCTGAGCCCTTCCCCCGGGAAAGCGAGAGCGGCCGCGGCCCCGCGCTCACCTTCGGCGTCTGCCGAGGAGACAAAGGTGAAGTCCCCGTTGCTGGGCGCGTAAAGCAGCGGCGGCTGCTGCTGCTGCTGCGGGCCCGGGGGCTGCATCTCCCCGCCCTCCGCGGGGCCGGTGGGGCGGCGAGAGGCGGGCGGGCACCAGGGCCTGCGGCCTCCCGGGTCCCTCCTGCGGCGGCGGCGGACGGTGCCCAACAGCCAGAGCGCAGCCGCCTCACGGGGCAACAACAAGCGACACCCTCCCCCCCGATTGGCTGCTTACAAAGTGCGCCGTGATTGGCCGCCGCAGGGCCAGCACCGACTGGCTCCCCGGGTCCGTCCCGGGAGTGAGGTCACTTGGACTCCGGTATAAAGCCCCTCCTGATTGGACGAGCCACGACCCGGCCGGTGGGAAGGGCGGAAGCGATGGGCTGTTGAGCGACGGCGTCGCGTTGTCCCCTTTCCCTCCCCCCCACAAAGTGGCTGACGCTGCCACCCGGCTCCTGCGTCATTATTCGGCCAACGGCCACCGCGGCTTCTTTTTCTCTTTGTCCCGCTGCCGGCAGCATCCGCCGCCGGGGGCCCCTTGGCGGCGCCGGGCCGGGGCTGCAGCCGGGGGACCGGCCCCTTCGGCAGCGCCCGGTGCTGTTTGCCCGCCGAGGCCTGCGAATGGCCGGCGTGCCGGGCCGGTGCGGCACCCAGCGCCACGCCGAGAGGCAGCCCCGGGAAATCCGCTGCTTTCAAGCCCACGCACACACCCCCCCACACCACCCCCCATATCCGCAGCAGGGGCTCGGGTGGGGGCTGCTCGGGCCCGCCGGCTGCTGCCTGCTGGGTGAGAGCTGGCGGCGTGGTGACGGGCAGCGTTGGAGACGTGAGGCCGGGTGGTTCAGTCCAGTCTGACCACCCAGAGCCCATCTGAAGGCTGGCAGCAGAAATTCGGCGTCTGCAGCGCCCTGGGACGACAGTTTCACCGCCTCGCTGCCATCTGCGGCAGTTTTCTTGGGTTTCTTCTACAAGTTGTTCACCCACATGGCCAATGTCCCCTGCCTGCCCCCACCTATCATCTGCCTGTTAAAATGCTTAATTGTAAGTCTTTTTCTCATTTCATAGCGAGATTTTTTCTTCATGTCTTCCTATATACTTCTTGACTCATGTAATTGCTTCCTGCATACTACTAAAAATCAATTTTGAGCATTCAGGATCAAAAGGTTTGCTGGCAAATACCCTTTCAAATATAACTCTGGACTTTTTCTTTCTTTGTTGAATAAAAGCATCATCTCAAATATTTTCCTTCCTTGGTGGATACAAAAGAACTGTAAGAATGGTTCGGGTTGGAAGGGACCTTAAATATCAACGAGTCCCATCCCCCTGCCATGGGCAGGGCCCCCTTGCCCCAGCCCAGGGTGCTCCCAGCCCCGTCCAACCTGGCCTGGAACCCTTCCAGGGAGGGGGCAGCCACAGCTGCTCTGAGCAGCTCTGCCCTGGACCAGTGCCTCACCACCCTCACAGGAAAGAATTTCTTCCTTATATCTAATCTAAATCTACCCTCTTTCAGTTTAAAACTGTTACCCCATGTCCTACCCCTACACCCCTTCATGAAGTGTCCCTCCTCACCTTTCCTGTCCACCCTTTAAGTATTGGAATGCCACTATAAAGTCTCCCCAGAGCCTTCTCTTCTCCAGGCTGAACAAGCCCAGCCCTCTCAGCCTGTCCTCATAGGGGAGGTGCTCTACATGGCCTTCTTTGGACCTGCTCAAGCAGGTCCATGTCCTTCTTATTCTGGGGGCCCCAGAGCTTGACACATTACTCCAGGTGGAGTCTTACAAGAGCAGAGTAAAGGGGGAGAATTCCCCTCCCTCGACCTGCTGGCCACACTTCTCTGGGCACAGCCCAGGATATGGTTGGCTTTCTGGACTGTGAGCGCACGTTGATGGCTCATGTTTTTGGACAAAGTTAGAATCATAGAATCATAGAATCATTTACATTGGAAAATACCTTTAAGATTGAGTCCCACCATTAACCTAACACTGCCAAGTCCACCACTAAACCATGTCCCTAAGCACCACATAGGAACGTAGAATCATGGATCTACATCTCCATGTCTTTTAAATACCTTCAGGGATGGTGACTCAACTACTTCCCTGGGCAGCCTCTTCCAATGCTTGACAACACTTTCCATGAAGAAATTTTTCCTAATATCCAATCTAATCCTCCCTTGGTGCAACCTGAGGCCATTTCCTCTCCTCCTAACACTTGTTACTTGGGAGAAGAGACTGACCCCCACCTCGCTACAACCTCCTGTCAGGTAACTGTAGAGAGCGATCAGGTCTCCCCTGGGCCTTCTTTTCTCCAGGCTAAACAACCCCCAATTCCCTCAGAAGACTTGTCCTCCAGACCCTTCACCAGCTTTGTTGCTCTTCTCTGAACACACTCCAGCACCTCAGTGTCTCTCTTGTAGTGAGGGGCCCAAAACTGAACACGGTATTGGAGGTGCAGCCTCACCAGTGCCCAGCACAGGAGGACAATCACTTCCCTGGTCCTGCTGGCCACACTATTGCTGATACAAGCCAGGATGCTCTTGGCTGCCCTGGCCACCTGGGCACACTGCTGGCTCACATTCAGCCGGCTGCTGACCAACACCCCCAGGTCTTTTTCCACCAGGCAGCTTTCCAGCCACTCTTCCCCAAATCTGTAGCCTTGAGTGGGGTTGTTGTGACCCAAGCGCAGGACCCAGCACTTGGCCATGTTGAACCTCATACAACTGGCCTCGGACTACCAATCCAGCCTGTCCCAGTCCCTCTGTAGAGACTAGGGTCCTCTCTTTGTGGTTTTTATTTGTTTGTTTTTCATTTTGTTTTTTCTTTTTATTTAACTACATATAGGGATGACAATGCCATGTCAAGGAATTGTTTACACTTAAGGCAAACCTGTCACTTGTTTAATTGTATTTCTTATTTATTGAAATTGAGTCTCAAAAACTTTAAGGAGTTTGGTACCAGTCTCTTAACAAGACCAGCAACATGCACTGCTAGGACAAGACTTGGAGGTGTGTTGGACAAAAGTTGTGTACTTCTTGATAAATGTGAGGAGTAGCTCTCAGGGCACTGTAAAAGGGTGAGAGGAGGCAAAAGTGAAAGTGATTGTCTCACACTGTATCAGCTTTAAGGTGGAAACTTGAGAAATGTTAATTAATGACAGAATATTATGCAATAAGATGAGTCACAAATGCACATTTTATTAATGTGCCAAACAGGAGCAGTGACAAATGAGATTGCGTGATCGACTGGGTGACTAGTTCTTTCTCTCCTCATTTCATGGCTTCACATACTGGACCCGACGCTATGCATGTGCTGCATGGTTTCCTAAGTACAACTAAAATACATGTAGGTTGATGTGAAGCAGAAGACAATTTTGTGACAGTGCTGAGCATGCCGGGCAAAGAAGAGATCTTTTTCACTATTTGGAAATATTTTCCATATTTTTTCATTGTCTATGATTCTGACTGTTCTCTGTATGAACACGGACAAGTCAGTCATTCTGTTTCTCTGCTTTCGATAGACCATTTTTGAAGAGATTAATTGTCATTCACTGTCTTCTTTTTAAACATGACTTTAATAATAGAAGGAAACCTGTTTCAGTTAATTTTCTAGGGACTTTTTGACCAGCTGAGATCCAAATGGAGTTTCACATAGAAGAGATGCTGAAGGAGGAAAGACATTCTGCCCATGTTTACCTAGAATAAGAACAGCGAGTAGGTTTTCAAGAGTTGCTCTTCCTGATGCCCTGTCTTACATGAACAGTGAAGGATCGAGAAACACACCTGATCCAGGCACTCTGCATTTTTCTCAACATTTGCTCAAATACTAAGATTTTGCCTGTCCTTCCCCTCCCTTCAGCCCCTTTCCCCTCCCCTTTAGACTCGGCAAGTGAGCAACTCGTTGTCCACTGCCGGAGCTGTGCCAGCGGAGGGCACTCTAGCACTGCTTTTGCCAGATCCGACCTTGCCAGGGTGGAATTCTGGAAAAAAAAACCACCAGTGTTCAAAACCTGTTGAGTAACCTATTTCACCCAGATGCTGCTACTAGATTCCTCAGCATTTCACGCGTTTTCCCTTTCTGTGCACTTTAAAAATTACCTTCGCTGATTAAGGCCCAGACTACATGTGACAATGTGAGTAATCATAAATTGCTCCAATTGGTCTGCTGAAGTTTAGGTTGTCTTGTTGCTCTTTGCACATAACCTCCCTTCCATGTATCTTAATTGTTCACAAGTGCCGGATTCACTCCTGCCACCAGTGGGACAATTTGCCTGTGCTCTGTATTACTGTGTAGTAGTCAGGGAAAGAGAAAAGGTAAAGGATGCATTTAAAAAGTCTGTAGAAAGCTGTGCTGCATACAAATGGCACGTCGGATAGCCACAAATATAGTCTATCTGCACATGGTTATCTTAGGAAGGGCTCCTGTTTAATTTTCATTTTTGAAATTCAAGAATCATGCAGTATGTGAATTTACTAGAACATTTTGTAACATTTTCTCTGGGAAAAAGAAGTCAGAATCACTGATGTTGAATCATCTTCCGAATTATTGAGGGAAGCCTGGAACCAACTGCTATGGTAGGGGAAGTAGGCAGAGTTGCTGGGGAGTTTTATTCCTAATGTCTCAGAGTAATGTCAGACAAGGCTTATCTTGATGATGATAGTATAAGTCATCCACTTTGAAATGGCTTTTGCATTTGCATCTAATCATAACAATCATTTGTTGTTAGAGCCTCTCTTTGGGCCTGCTTCTCTGTATCTATTTGCTTAAGTCAGAGCTGCTCTAATTCGTGAGGAAAGTCCTGAGCTCTGGCTTCTTGGAACAGCAAGACTGCATGGATTAGTTTAGATATGAGTCCTGCAGTGAACGTCTCACGCGTGAGTTAAAGTTACTCTCAGTGAAACCTTTAAAGACTGAATGAAGTACATGCATCACAGATGCACTAATTTCTACTGATAGTAGAAACATTTACTAACTTAACCATTAACCCTGGACTGAAGGCTAGGCTTTTTGTTAACTGCTGTACTGTAAAATTTCAAAGAGTTATGAACTGGAACTTGCTTTACATCTACAAACAGTTCCGTATCTTTCTGACAACAGAAACGTATTGCACAATACACGCTTGAAGCAAACAAGATACTAAGTAATTGTACAAGGAGGAAACTTGCAGAGAAGAAACCTACATATAATGGGGACACAGTTTTTGACAAGCACTATGACACTTTGCTGCTTACTGAGTCTTTTTAATTTA